GCACACGTATGCACTATGCGCACTTCCACATGAATCGCTGCAATAGCTCTAAAGCAGATATCGTGATGTAAAAGGATAATTGAACTCGTCTCTGTGGATTTTAGTTGTCAACTGCATAATGGATTCTCATCCATTTCTATCCTCTTCTTCTTTTGTATTGGCTCTCCTGAGACCAGGACCTGCTGCCTGTCTCATCCTTGAACAATGAGTATCCATCCCACCATTAAAATCCCTCTCTATCAGTGTCCCATAGCCTCTCATGAAATCAAGCACACACTTTGGCTTCATTACCCCAAAACCTTAAAGTATGCCTTCAGTTGTCTGTGATAATAAAGCTGTTTAGAATACACACCCATCCTGCTCATATGCCTTATATTTAAATTCCAGAGGCTATAATTATCTACAGTTAAATATTCCTAAGTATTTCTGTCCCTACACACATATGAGACCATTTGGCAGTGAGCATGCTTCCACCTGCGCTGCACAGATAGGGCCAGGTTTAACTATTTTCTGCACTGTTCTCGCTTGCATCACACCCTGCTTAGATAAATCTGCATTATGGGTGTAATTAGAAGCCTGGTGACAAGCATATGTCAGCAGTATTACATGAATCAATCTTTGCTGTCACTTTCTAATGACACTGAACACGGCTGCTACTGTTGACTCGCTTGCTCATCAGGACACAAATTACAGAGAAATGAGTCATCATGGCAAGTTAAAGACTCTAGGTGTTTGTACAGTTTTAGGTTTGCAGCTGTACGCTTTGTCCTGAATTCAACGTGCTTATTTTTTCAGTTGTTTTTTCTTTTCACCTCACTGCCCTTTTCTGTATCTGCTTTTTTTTTCCTATTTGCATTTTTACAATATTTCCATTTTCTCTCCCTCAAGATTAGATTTTGACTATTCTATAATGTCAGATTACTTCAATTTCACAGACTATCACATTTTAACAGCAAGAGATAAAACACAGAGGACAACCAAAGTTATCACTTAATTGGTAGTGGTTGCCTTTACCAGTTTTCATACACAGTAAAAATAGACATTCGGGGTATTACTCTTGCTGCTCTTGCACACTGTTTCACACTTTCTCCCCACCCAGACTGAAAGAGTTGTTACTAAAAGAGCGATCAGGGCGCTCAGACCTGCAGACTCGTGTTGCAGAGCTGGAGGGGAGGTGTCAGTCCCTAACCCAGCAAGTGGAGCAGGCTCGCAGCAGTGAAGAACAACACAAGACTGCACTGCACAGACTGGAGGAAAGCATCTCCCATGGAGAAGCACTCAGGGCTCGTCAGCAGGCTGAGGAGGTACAGTGGTTGGTTTAGTATAACTGAGAACACCTGTATTACCATTTTCATACAGTTAGTGTACATTCAGTTAATTCTTAGCATCAAAATCATATCATATTAGAGTACATATTGTTATCTATCATCATAATTTGTAATTATCAGAATCACTTCTATTGGCCAGGCATGCATATACGTACAAGGAATTTGACTGATTTCACATTGCTCTAAATGTACAGACATAAAAGATAAATAAATATACCATATACTATCCTGAAGATGAAAGGATTCAGCAGGGTCATTCGGCTTCGACACTATGTGACAGGCTGGTATAAAATGTGCTCACCTTCCTCAGATGAAGCGGCACCAGGAGCTGGAGAACAAGGCAGGAGCTCTAAAGAGAGAGCTGGACATCCAGAGAGCCTCGGTGCGTCAGCATAAAGACAAACTGCAGCAGCTGCATGAACTGCTGGCAACCAGGGAACAAGAGCACAGGTACACCTTCATATGAGTGATGGGCTCCTACATCTGCCAAAATTAGAATTGTTTTGGTTGGTAAGAGGTTCTTTATATTTTGTTGTAGTCTTTGGCTTTTGGTTGAGAATACTTATGAATATATGTTTACTTGTGGTCATGAGTATCCATTGTTATAGAGAAATATTTGAAGAATTTAAGCATTTAAGAGGCTTCAGGAGTCTGAGTTAGAGAAAAATTATAGTGGTATCTCCAAAGTTACAACCTTTTGGTATAAAATTCCTTTTTTGTTACAATCCCTCCACTGCAGCACAAGAAGAAAACACTGTCCAAGGAAACACAAAGAGGAAATGTCATAACATAAAGGCTAGAACTCTGGAAGATATCCACTTGGTTTTATTAATTCTGACTGAAGTTTCATAGTTTCCTTTGTACAAAGCAAGGACTGTTTTTGTCCTCCATCACTTACATTCTACATACATGCAGTTAACTTCCCTGTACAATAAGCCTAGAACTCCAATATCCACTGAACCTGGAACGTATTCATTATTTATTTTTCCATTGTTGAAATTCTGTTTTTTAAAAAAAAAAACAGAAAACAGAAATACTATCATTCTAATACATCTACCTATGCTGTGCATACAGCATATACTGTATATACTACCTCATGCACATAAAGAAACCTACACGTAAAACATTTATTTCAGCATCCTTTGCTCTCTGCACCATTGCACTATTGTCTACTGTCTATTGTCTACTGTCTACAAATGTTAAGTTTTTTTGTTTGTTTATATCAATGTACAACTGTACATGTACATGTGTACATGTCTATTTTGTGAGCTGTTGTTTTGAGTCCTGTTTATTTATGCTGTTAGTCTGTGTTTGTACATTCAGAGCAACGTAAAACCGAAGTCAAATTCCTTGTATGTGTGCACATACCTGGCTCATAAAAGTGATTCTGATTCTAATTCTTGTTTGCATTGTTTTACAGAAAACAGCTAGAGATGCGGTTGCAGCCTGGTGGGGCAGATTTCCATGAGGCAGTGGCGAAAGAAGTTGCATCAGTGGAGCAGAGACACGCCCACAGGGAGGTGGAGCTGCAGGAGAAACTGGCAGACAGCAGGAAACAGTACGCTGCTCTGGAGGACGAGTTCCGCATGGCACTAACCATCGAGGCTGCTCGCTTCTCTGAGGTCTGTTAAAACATGGACACCTGCCACACAGATGGCCTGTAATCACTCAAGAGTTGGCCTAAATTTTACTCCACACTTTCTGTACAGTCCAGCTGATAAATGATCACTGTGTCCAGTAAAAAGTGGAATGATTGAACTGGAATTGAACCCAATCTGGATGGACTTTTTTTCAGCCTGGTGGTGAAAGCTGAGATGGAAGTAGGATCATCACTCTGGACAAGTAGTCTGTGATTGCCACAGGAAGAAAGCTATACAAAAGGATTGGATTTGAATCAATCTGTACTTTCTCGTTATGGTTACAGATTCCATTCAGCCACTGCACAAAATGTAATCTAGACTTGATTGCTACTGCTCGCACAGTTTTCTACTTTAAGTCTCAAACATTTGACCATTGGAAAAGTCTGAATAAGATACAGACTTCACACTAACTCGTGGAAGCCTTTGAAAGATTGCTTTCTTTAAATTCCCAACACTGAAGCCTTTTCTGTCAGTCTTTGAATTTGACAACAATTAAAACTTGTCAAGTCATGTAAACTTTGAACCAAAGGTCTGTTCCATCTCCTACACGTCTCATTCACATTCTGCTTCCTTGCTCTGCCTCTGTAGGTGAAGGAGGCTTGCGACCAGATGACTGCAGAGCTGCTGGGGCTCAAGGCAACCCTCGCCGAGTCCCGGCAGAGGGAGAAGAAATCAGGCTCTCTGGTGCAGGAACTCACAGCCATGGTCAAAGAACAGAAGAGCCGCATCTCTGGACTCATAAAGGCCAAGAGAGACGCTGTTACTGATCTAAAGGTAAAGCACTTAAGTACAATAATGTTTTCTTTGACACTTATTAAGCATCAATTGTCTGTTCAGGTTTCGAAAAATCACTATTTATATACAAGACAAAAGAGATGACCAGTTCTGGGCATCAGTCATTGCCTTTTCAAAAATAGTTCAGCCTGAGCCTGGAGGAGACCGTCTACTTTGAGACGTCATAATATTGAATGATCCAGCTGCCTTTCCATCTGTCAGCCATGACAGATGGCCATTGATCATTAATACTGTCTGTCCCTCTCCCAGACCCGTCTGCATTCCTTGGAAGCAGAGGTAGAGCAGGACCGGCGTCTCGGCCTGCAGCTCGAGTTGCTCAAGAAAGACAAGGGGCGACTGTTGTCCCAGCTCACAGCCCAGGAGTCGGTGATAGATGGCCTCAGAGCAGAGAGGAGGATCTGGGGCCAGGAGCTCGCTCAGCAAGGTGGGAGAAATCCAGGACAACTTTGAATAAGCCTCATAGTGCATGATACACTGACAACCTGTTTTACTACTACTAACACTAGTACAGGGCTTCCCTTTATTTCATCTTACTCCATAATGCATTAGCCTGGTAGATGCTCCATATTGGCCATGGGCAAAGTGAGTCGCTCTTAACATTTTGGAGATTCTACTGAGTCAGTATGAAGGAGCATTAGCTGTTTGGCATATTTCATCTGTATCAAGTAAAGTCTGCCATCTAGTGGTTATTTGGGAGTAATAAATGAATAATGGATAAAATAGATAAAAATAGGCATTAAAATAGTAACGTTTAACATTGAGTGCTGTCATGAGAGACATAATCAAATGTACAATGATGTATTTCGCTTTGATAGGAGTGTCCTTGGCTCAGGATCGTGGACGACTGGAGGCCCGGATAGAGGTGCTGGGCACTGAGCTGGAGACTCAGAAGAAACAGAATGAGAGGGACTACGATGCCCTAAAAATCAAAGCCAAAATCATTGATGACCAGACAGAGACCATCCGCAAACTCAAAGAGGTAGTAGGATACTCTGATTGCTGAAATCAGTGTGTTATTCTAAAAGCAAAACAACATACAAGAACCTGCCACTGCTTCAACATTCATATTGTGCATTTAACCATGGGCATTATATGTGAGTTGAAGTATGTTTATGTGCATTTTGTGTGTCTCCTCTGCCTTCCTGCTGTCCAAGGCCTTGCAGGAGCGTGACGATCAGATCCGTAGGCTGCGTGAGGAGGCGGTCCAGACCCAGAAGAGGAACCAGCAGCAGCTGGAGGAGGAAACAGCTCGGCAGGCTGAGCTGAGGGAGCGCCTGGAGCATCTGAGCCTGCGCAAGGAGGAGCTGAAACAGCAGCTGGAGGACAAGGAGGTAGAACTCGAGGAGGTCAAAAGAGTTTACAGGCAAGTGTCCCATCATAAACATACAAACACATAGAGATACTAATTTGGACATATTTATAGTATGCCCAAACTCAACCAAAATCCTCAGTATGCATGTTTAAAGGGGCCTAAGACCCCCTAACATGTGCCTTCTGTTTTTTTTCTTTTTCTCTGTATCTTTTCTTTGTATCAGTGATTCTAGTAAGAAGTGGCAGGAGAAGGCAGACCTGCTCACTCGGCTGGAGAGCCAGGTGAAGCGCATGAAGGAGAACTTTGATGCCAAGGAACGTTTGCTGCTGGAAGAAAGAGATAAAGCGACAGAAGCACACAAGTATGATACAATATCATATGAGAGCAAAAATGTCTTTTGAAAATTTGGCCACAAAATCACCACAAAGATCATGCTTATATTGCTTACATAAACAAAATACATATCAGGATGTATAGTAGTAAAGTAGGAAAGTTATGGAATTTGAGTAGTATTGTAGCTTTGAGTTGCAGTTAAAGCAGTTCTTATATCCCATATGATGTATACTGTAATAGATTTTTTTTTTTTTTTTTACAGAGTAGGCAAGGTTTGTAGATTGAGTGATTATCCTGGATAAAATCACTCACAAGAATGTTTGATGCAGTCAAAATCTTAGAAGATTTTTTATTTCCATATCTACCAGAATGTGCACACATATTTGTCCTATCATTGTTCACCTGCTCAGAACAGGTTAGGACAGGAAGTATAGTATAGTATAGTATGTTTCACTCTGAAATGTTTTGAGCAGTAAGGACTATTCGTCTCTGTCTCTTCCATCTCTACCAAACCCAGAAACTAGAGAACTCTGACAACTCCTCATATTAATATTATATTATTAATGGAGTCTGGGGTCAAATCATAATCAGGGTTTATTAGTAATGTCGCCTCTGAGACAGGAGCAGGTGAGTAGTCATGAGGTGTCAGGTTAAGTAAAATATTTGTTTTTGTCAGTGCTTCATTTCTGTGGCCGCCCACCCTAAAAAATACACATGCTAATTGTACCCAAGACAAAAGACAGAATCCTCAGAGTTTACCTTATGTAACATTGTGTTGTTGTTGTCCTGTAGAGCTGCAGTAGACAAGTTACACTGTGTGGATGATGCCTTTCGCCGTCAACTAGAGTCTGGCCAGGCTTCCCATCAGGCTGAGCTGCTTCGCCTGGCGAATGAAAAGCAGAAACAGATTGAACAAGCAAATCAGAAGGTAACATTTTGACACTTTTCACAGAAATGGTTTTCCTCCAAGTTGGGAGGCAGAGCAGTGTATTCAGACACATGAAGAGTCTAGCCCTCACTCTAGTGTGGATAAGTCTGTGTGTGGTGAGTGTAGTAGACAATTATGTTTAAAAAAATCTTAATATTTTATATTTACACTAGTATGATTTTCTGTTTGCTTCACCGTGATGAAAAATGGGTACAGGCCTCTATTGCTTAATACACTTCAATTGAGTTAATTTATTTTCTTTCTTCTTTTTTTTTTTCATTTTGGAATTTGTCACTGAAATGTTACATTTTAAAACAGCAGACATTATCTTTTCTGAGAAAGACATTTTGGATGAGTAGGACAAATCCTGTGATACAGTTTGACTTACGTTTAAATGTACATGTTGATTATTTGCATTTCACCCAACAAGGCTTTGAAAGTCTCTAAAAAGGCTAAAATGTGATGACCAAACAAGTTAGAGAACCTTATATTGAACAACAGTTATAGTTGAGGCCGTCTGTGTGTCTTCTTCAGGTATTTGAAGTGGAGACGGAGATGCGTCAACTCCTGGAGGAGGCCGAAGCTAACAAGAGAATCATGGAAGAGAAAATGAAACGTCTCACAAGTGTATTAAAAGACTTTTAAGCACTTTTTGCAGCTGTGACAATGTATGAATTTAAACACTATAGTATTTTCTTTTAATAAATCAAATTATTTCTATTTTTATTTTTTTAAGTTAAGTTATTGTTGCATTTTAGTGATTGATGATGATTTATCTAATAAAACCTCTCTTGAGCATATTTGTCTTTTTATTTTTAATTATAGGTAGGAAAGCTGTATTAACACACATTCAAGTTTACAATGTAAGGTTCAGTGGGAAATAATGGTACAACTTTATTTATATTGTACATTTCATTGAAAAATATACCTGGGGTGCACCGATAGTCCAATTCCAGCCTGGGTTTTTTTTTTGCTGCATGTCATTGAAAAAAATATGCAATACAATATACATCACAAAACATGGAAAAAACAAGACAGATTCAAGTAATATGATAAAAAGAGAGAGAAAAAAAATAAATATATATATATAAATGAATTGTTTTTTATTGTTTCCGTTATGAAGAAATTAAATATTGAGCACAGACAATGGACAGATTTACCTCAGTTTATGTTTTCTTAATTACATAAATGTATACAATGAACCTACAAAGATAAAGATCTTCAACAGTGACATTAGGATAAACAAACATAATTGATGACATGACAACATTCTGTCCCCTTCTCTCCTTCCCCCTCTACAACTGTCTTCTGGCACTTGTAAATAAGAAATTGTTCGTAATGTCTTGATTGGTAAAATAAAAAAATACATTAACTGTTTACATGGACAATCTTACACAACAACCTTTAAAACTAACTAAACTAAAATGTAAAGTTATATGTTCAAGTAGTTTTTAGTTCTAACTAACGTAACGTACGATCTGCTTTATTTAAGTCAAAAATTATTAGACCTAATTAAATAAAAAAAATATATCTTGTTACTTTTCCAAATTACAAGATAATTACTGGGAAAATCGGACTTAATTTCTTTTTAAATTATTTAGCCAAATTTTACTTTTGACAGAATGAGAGTAGTATTTTGTATTTAACTTTACTTTACATGTAGTTCTCTCTTCTCTTCTTTTTTTTTTGCCCTTTTCGGCTTCCATACACCTACAGAACGATCACTGATTTATCAATACCTGTCTGTCCGGTTGAGAAGGGGAGGGCGGGGTCAAGGAGCGGGACAAGGGTTGCCGTGGTAACTGTAACCTAACGTAACGTCCGTTGATTTAAAACCCTCTATAGGCACCGCCGTCGCCCCGTCGAGCTAACAGAGACGTTATGTGTACGGAAAGAAATGCTCGTTATTTGTAGTTAAACCCGGGCGGCTGACTTAAAATAAATAAATAAATAAATAAAATAAGCAGGACTCTCTCAGTTTCTAGAAAGAAGATGGAGTTTGAGACGACGGGGACTGTACGCTCGACGCCGAGTCGCCACGAGAAAAGTTTGGGGCTCCTCACCATGAAGTTTGTCAGCCTGCTTCAAGAAGCTAAGGATGGCGTCCTTGATTTGAAAGTGGTCAGTGAATCGGCGAGGGGCAGGCTCCGTTGTTTGTTGGGGGGTAGGGGAGGGAGGGTTGGGGTGAGGGTTTGAGGGGGAGACTCGGGTTTTAGTGCCACCTTCCAGGCAGCAGTTGTGAACAAAGGGCTGTCAGTCGCCAATGGAGCCAGTCAGGTGCATTGATTTACTTAACAGGTGGACGAGCTGGCCGCCATTACACCCTCCTCGTTTGTGGGTTCAATAACATGAACTCACAAGCTGTAAAAAGCTGTAAAAAGCTGTAATAATGTGTGTGTGTGTGTGTGTGTGTGTGTGTGTGTGTGTGTGTGTGTGTGTGTGTGTGTGTGTGTGTGTGTGTAGACAGCAGGTTGCAGTCATTGTTGTGAAATGAATGGAAATACTATAACGCCAGGGTTGGGAGGGTTTAAAAATGTACTGTATTACTCGTTACTTTACTTATTACTGGCTAACAACAGGAATAAGTTACTCTATTTGTTTTGTTACTTTTCTCATAAGATTCAGACTTTTTAAAATCCAGTTTTGTTAGCAGAAATCAAAGTAATGGGAATATTTCCAGCTGCTGAATGTAAACGTTTCCATATTTCAAGCTCGTTTCATCTGTTTATAATTTTAATCCAGGGATGTGATGTTAGTAGGGGGATTGGCAACAAAAGTAATGTAACTAATTACATGATTACTGTAATGTATTCGTAATTAGTTGCACTACAAGGCACTGGGGAAAATAAGAGTTATTATTGGCCAACAGTGTCTGATACAATTACCTGTTAAAAAATGTAGCCAAACCTTATCCAAGTATCACAATGTTAAAGTAACTTGATTACTTTCAACACCACATATGCAAATAAAGACAAGAGAAAAGTCAATAAGAGATATTGAAGCTTATTCTATAAGACAACAGAACGTAACATTAGAAAAGAAAATAGAAACGGAAAAAATTTAAAGATTTTCAGCATCAACAGTTTGTCTCCTGCTTGTGTATTTTTAAATAAAAACTGATGTATTTAATAAATCTAAGCCTGGTAAATAATCCCCATTACTACTAAATGTAACTGTAATCTAATGTCTTTTTTTTCTGTAACTTTAATGGATTACAGTTACCTTTTTTTTTGTATCCTCATTACATAATTCAGTCACATGTCATCCGTTACTCCCCAAGCCTTTGTAACGCTACATTAAAAGTGAGGCTACAGGTCCCAAAAATTTAATTTCTGGGGTTATTGATTCCCCCCCCCCATATAGATGTAAAGTAGGCAAACAAAACAAACCTAAAGTTGTGAGTCAGTCACATTTAAGACAATGTTAATTATAACTGAGTGTCGGACCTCCTATATTATGGACCCTCTTGAAATAACCCAAGCAGAATTAGCCTAATCAAATCAGAGTGAAATTTAATTGCTAATTTTAATTCAGACTCCCTCGAAACCCCTTGTTAATGACCTGTGGAGGTAATTAAATTACACATTTGGGGAACCACTACATTACACTATCTTAGTTAACATTGTGACACCAGTCTGGCTGTCTAGCACAGTGGTTCTCAGACTTATTTCATTAATGTAAAGAGTGATAAGCGAAATAAAATTCTGCTTTCCTATCGTGACCTTCTGGGATGTCCTGTCCCCTATAAAGCAGCAGTCTGGCACCATCTCCTTTAAGTCATCATGCCAGTGAGAGCTGCAACAATTAGTCTTTTGATAGTTGATTAATTGTTTTGAGTCAGTTTTTCTCATGTTTTATAGACTGTAATCGAGAAGATGATCGGCAGATGAATTGATAAATTAAAATATCTGTTAGTTGTAGTATCCTTTGAAACTTTCCTTCCTGTAATCCTTCAAATGATTCTTCTTATGGCTGTCTGCTATCGGCTACCACTAAACTCTAGAAATTAAGAGTGAATGGTGACATTTTTGAATCCCTTCCCTCAAACATAAAGGTTCTGACTTCTGTTGTACCACCTGCCTTGCTACACTTAGTGTTTTTGACTTGTGGATGCATCTTTGCCAGACATACCTGAAGTGTCGTCCTCCTCCTTTTACATCACAGTGATAAGTAATTTTCCCTCTCTTCTTGCGCGCCAAAGCTGGGTAATGTTTACACAGCAGGCTCCTTTAGACCCTTTCCCTCCTCCTTCCTCCTCTGCTATTGTATAACTGTCCTCCTCTGCCAAGGGGTTTTATTTTCTGTTTGTGCAGCTTAATTTGCCAAATCCTTCATTTGTTGGCTTTGCTAGCGTCTCTGTTTTCTCCCCAAGAACTGTTTGCCACAGAAATATCGGGTTTCCTGTTTAAATGTGTGTTAAAAGTGCCTGTGATGTATCTTGTCAATAAGGGTTCATATTAAGCTGCCACAGAGTATGACCCTTAATGGAAATGTCTGTCTGAATTAACAGGCTGCAGACAGCTTGGCAGTGAAGCAGAAGAGGAGGATATACGACATCACCAACGTACTGGAAGGAGTGGGGTTGATAGAGAAGAAAAATAAGAACATAATCCAGTGGAGGTTTGGAAAATCTGTTTTTACATGTACAATCGGTGAAATCATGACTTTCTCACTGATGCTTTTAATTCCCTTCAATATCTAGTAGTCTCAAAACAGTACCAGTTCATGACTTGTGTTCACACCTCACACTTTGTCCTCTCACCTGTTATCTCCCCTTATTTACAGAGGAGAGAACTCAGGAAGCCAAACTCAGGAGGTGGTGGAGCAGCTGAAGGTTTTGAAGGCCCAAATCTCTGAGCTGGAGGCCCAAGAGAAAGAGCTGGACAACCAGAAAGCATGGCTAGAGGAGAACATCAAACACCTGAACCACGATCCCATCACTAGCTCATATCCTTTAATGCCATCTGGAATTAAATATTTTGTGTGTCTACTTTAAAATCCAAGTCAGGTCAGTGTTTTTGTGCATCTCTTTCCTTCACTCATCAGTTTCTATAATACTGAAAGACTGAAGCAAGTTAAATGTGGTGAAAAAGCAACTTATTGTTGGACTGAACATATTAAGTGTTGCAAATATTTTCTACTGAGTCTTTACGTCTGATGTCATTCCAGTGAAATGTGTGGATTTGTATGCTTGAGTCTGTCTTTCTCTACAGCTTGTAATTCTAGTCCTCTTGGGGCCCCATTTATTCATGTCAGGGGAAACAAAAATCCCTCCTTGATTCTTTTAACATTGTTTGCTTATTGAACAGAGAAATGCTATAAAGGGATTATAAATATAATTGCCATTGTCAGTCTCTTGTGAAATCACAGCCAGGCTAATCCTGACTTACACAATGCTCACAGTCTTGTTTTTCCAGTTTACTGTCTCCATTTTCCTCCCATAAGTAATCATGTTCCTGTTTCCTTAACACCACTCCACTTATAAATTTGTGACACATGAAGACATCTGCAATGCCTTCAGCGGAGACACTCTGCTTGCAGTAGTGGCTCCTGCTGGGACTCAGCTGGAGGTACCGCTACCTGAAATGGTTGGTCTTTTTTTAATTGATTTGGGTAAATGAAATTTAGTTCTGCACTATGTTAATGATAATAGTCAGCAGAAAGACAGAATTCACCTTCATTATTGCTTGTTCTTCATTTTAAACCACATGTAGGCCGTTTATAAAAGAAGGCTGATGAAATAATGTTTCTTGTGGCATGTGAAGTCAATCTTCCTAATAAGGGTTCTCGGCACATTTGGCTGCTTACTCTCTACATGCTGGCGTGTATTTTCTGTAACATTGATCAACATATTGTTGTTAACTTAAACCTTGTGTAGCAGTGCAATCTAATCATCATTAGGGAGCACATTTTCAAACTTAAGTGCCATGTTCAGCTTCATCTGACACCTACTTAAGATTTTGTGAGTGAGTCTAGTGTAAATGACTACTCTCCTTATCTGTGAAGAAATGAAACCTGTGGCCACTTGCGGCAGCAGAAACAAGCTTTTTCACCTTTGCAGTTCATAAGGTGAACTTCTTAGCAAAAAGTTTCCCTTTTAAACATCCAGCAGATACTGGACCAACTTGTTTAGCTCCACTATGTTCACTAGCTAGTTTCTAACTGTGTGTATCTCCCATTTGGCTCAGGGCAGGTAGTGTTCTGTAGTTTCACTGGAAATGCCTGCTGCAATTTAAATTCGGCCATTAGAGTGCTGAAAATGAACCAAAACTGTAAAAATATATCAATTATGCCTGCTGTAATGACAATAAATATATCTCTACACTGCTGCTCCTTAGGGCCAGAGTGGGCAGAAGAAATACCAGGTGAACCTTCGCAGCCACTCTGCTCCCATCCAGGTCATGCTCATCAACAGGGATTCAGACTCCAGAATACCTGTGGTCTTCCCCGTTCCACCCACTGACGACATCTGTCCAATGCCAACTCCACCCAGCACCCCTGCCAGCCTGCAGAGGTTCCCTCTCTTAACGTCCATGTACTCCACCTCCAACATAACCTCCTCCTACTGCAGCCAGGACTCTCTCTGCTCAGACCACCAGATGGTGCTGCCAGAGCAGGATGAAGTGCTGACACCATCGTCCACCCCTCCTGATGTACAGATGGGTAAGGACAGGGACCTTTAAGTTCCTCTAGAAAACCAAATGCAGTTTTTACTGACTTTTAATGGCTTAAAAAAGACAAAAGCTTGGCTTTACACTTACTTTTATTTATATATATATATATATATATATATATATATATATATATATATATAGAAGCTTTAAACATAATGAAAGAGAGAGAGGATTAAACAAATAAAGCCAGCTGCAAATTCAGTAGCTTATAAAGAGTTTATCTTTTCAGTCCACACAGAATGTCTAACAGTAGTAAAAACAGGCGTCACGGGAAAAAAATCCCTTACACGTTGAATTAACGCCTATGCAGAGAAACCAGCTGTAAAATAACCTCAATGTTCTGTCATGCTTGGGCAGTTTTTATTTTTCTTACTCAAATCTTCCCATCATTATCTATCTGAAATAACACCCTCCTCCCAATGAGTCAGAACATGTTACTCCCACATGGAGCTGACGGTTATCGCTTTTGTTTTGTGCCAGATCATAAATGGTGTTGGATGTCCACAGTATCACAGTATCTGTCTGAATGCATTGGATCTTACTCACTTAAAGAGAGCAGAGATTATAGAGAAAATCACAGCGCTGTAGACTCATTAACCAAGTGCTTCTAGACTCAGTTACACTTTTAATCTACCTAGTTAAAACTAATGCAGGAGTCTAATGAGACAGCCCTGCAATAAATTCTAAGTCATAATGTTTTAATGTTCATTAAAACTGAGGTATTGATTAACATTTTTATTCATTATAGAGTCTGTAGTTTATGGTGGTCTTTCGTTTTTACCTTAAAGAATAAGTAGGACACTACTACAGGTTCCTTTTCACTGATTTTACCTGATAAGGGCATTTCTCATGACTCACTGATGTCTTGTAATTTAGAGAATGGTTTCACTTGACTTCAGTCGAAGCAGTGGGTTAATAAGGCAGAATTAGTGAGAACACCTGGGTGGGTGTGCAGGGCTGTTTTTAAAACCATCTCCAGGAGCTGATAGAGGTGTTAGGCTGCTGTTAAATCGAAATTTGGTGAAAGGTACTTGTGTGTTCTGGACAAAAGTAAGAAGGAGAGGAAATGGTGTAGGCAGGGTTGTAAACATTACCTGCAGGAGCTAGCATGGCTAATGATAACAACTAATAACTAATAACAACAGCAGTCCACAAAGTTGTAAATTATACAGCTTCTTAAAAAACATTTTACGCCACTGTCCTTTTTCAGTGTTTGGCCGAATCCCAGTTCCCCCCTGTTGGCCGTACCCCTATTTTTGGAGTCCCCTCTAAACGGTAGTGGCCCTTTAGAACGGAGCAACAAGGGGGAGGGCTTAAAGTCTTTACCTAGGAAATAAGAAACCACTTGTTAATGTCATTTATAGTTGATACTATATAATATATAGGTTTTATCTGAAAGCCTGCACTGATATTAGTGAGTGGGGCAGTGCGGGAAAGATATTCAGATGGATTTTAACATTTTTGCAAGATTATTTGTGAAGATGTTTACTTACCCTGCATCAGTAGCCATGTTTTATGTCTCAGTTTGAAAAGCATTCTGAGAATTTTCTTTCTATCACTTCATTTGGAGTCTGAATCTGAAAAAGCTTCGTTTGGAGGTCTAGATGACCATTACCCCTCAGTCTTAAGAGGGAAAGGGACACTCGAGCAAAGATATAATTCACCACACCACAAAGAGGAACCCCTAAAATGACCATGAATCTAACACACACACACACACACTTAAAGTGTGTGTGTGTGTGTGTGTGTGTGTGTGTGTGTGTGTGTGTGTGTGTGTGTGTGTCTGTTTGGTAATACACTTGCAAGCAGAGACTTCTTCAAGATACTTTCATGTCCAAGAAAGAATCGAAAGTATTGTTCTGTCTTTTCAGGAAATCAAACAGTGAGAAGTTAATCATTGCTTCAAAAGGTTTGCTGTCCGTCAGCTGACTCAGATGTCAGCACATGACATGCAAAGACAGGAAACGTCTTTTTAAAAAAAGTTACTGCTTACATCTATAATACCATATAATCACAGCATGTGTACTATGTCACTTATAATGGTTTACCTATCTCATTGTGCACTTATAATAAACCACAACCAATGCTTGTAGGCCCATAAGAAAAAAATCTAAAAGTAGTCAGTTGTAAGACATTATCTAAAATATGCAAGAGCAGACGATTGAGTGACTATTTTCATTACTAACATAAGACAAGAAATTATATGGAAACAAAAGCAACCAATCCTGTGACCAATTCCAAGACATTTTACTTTGTAAACCCAGATCTTCCCCTCAGAAGAACTGAATGACGAACGGTAAAAACCTCTCTTTTCATAAGAATTCTCCTTCATCAACCTTAACTTGTAAATGTACGGTTTTATTTCTCCTTTATTGAATACTAAGAATAATTTGGCAGCGTGGGAACAAGTAAGATTTGTAGAAACAGCTCTAGTGTTAATCGTTGTGTTTCGACAGACCACAAGGTTCTTGTTTATATTTATGTGGAGTACTTGAGCCTAGTTAAGCCAGTTGCAGGAGACCCAGAATTTGAAGCATTCAAATCCGTGGTTTGATCTGAACATGGTTTTGCAACAATTAATTGTAAAGAAAACAATTGTGGTTTGAAATGTGATCCCAGAACAAGAGAACTGTCATTTACTCGCATAGACAATAAAAGAAACTGTCAGATTTGTCCCACTGTAATAGATGATGTGGAAGAGACATCTTGTATGTGCAGCATATCTCTCACGACAACCCTACATTGCCCAGTTTCGCAGAGAACAGACTAAACCTCAAATTTTCTTGTGTGGGAGATTGCCAGGATGTGTGAAAAACAACTTCCT